CGAAGCAGTGGAGTCGTAGGCAGATGCGTTACACACAGGACGAAGCATGGCATCTACCAAGACTCCGATTTGTAAACAAACACATGATCAATCAAGGAAACAATTAACTGTAACTGGGAAATTTTTAATAAATCCATGTTTCATTCTAAAGAATCCACAATGTTATCACTGACAATTCATTACGATCTGTTGCATAACCAGTTTATAAAAAAACCTTTATTTAATTAGCCTAATAATACTAAAACAATAAGTTCTTCGTTGTAATTTCTTAACTCTCTGGTTAATCCATCTGTCTATGGTCTAAACAATATTTTCAGCGTTTTCTGGAACTACATCACACAAAAATTAGTGTTATCTGAGACCATTGGTAAGAACAGCAGTCACAGTAACAGTTTAACAAATAAGAATTAGAATCAGTTGACAAGAGCAATATACAAATCGTTGCTGCTACTACCACAGTTTGTGAAGTAGAATATTATTCATTACCTAGACACATATTTTAATTTAAAAGGTCACAGCACATTTCTGTTCAAGTTATCCTAAATGGTTGAAAAACATTTATTTAAATACTGCAAATCTGTTCTATCCCCAGTGTGAACAAAATGATGACTCTTTTACTAAGTTCATTCTGATGCAATTACCCGTTCCAACACACGAATTTGGGGGGCACTGCAGCAGATGGAAGAAAACGTTACCTTTCTTTAACTACAAAAGAAAATTCCACGATGTTTGAGAGGCGAGGTAATTAGTCCCCCCCTCCTTCTTGTGGTCCACTGCACTAAGAGCACTGATCTGACAATTAAACTTATTTCTCCTGACTATATGCACTTATCACTATTCTGTAAACACGTACTTTAAAACTGAATTGCAGGATAATGTGTTAACACAGCAGCACACAGTGCATGTCAGTCAGAATGACTCAAACTAAAGTTCGTAGACCAGCATTAGTCAGTGGCAGCCTTCAGCATTGCAAGATGCAGCCATATCACCTGATACTTAAAATATCGAAAGATGCCGCAAGAAGATGATTACCAAGTTCATGACTAACGATAATGGTCAACAGCTTTATTCAGACCTGTGTGTGTCACAAAAGACAGACACATTACTCATCGCAATGTATTTAAAATTATGAAAATACTGTGAATGGGTTCTGTTCAAGTACCAGTCATCTCCGACTCTACTGGCAGACCCTCACTATCACAGCCTCTCAAACAATGTGTGAAGGAATATGACACGCATATATTTGCGCTATAGTTCTTCATAACACAGAAAAAATGCATGTAATGCTTTTACATTATTATTAATATGATTGAGTGTTCTGTCTGACAGGTCCATTGTTCTGCCCAAAAAAGAGCTCGCCAGTTTTCCCTATTCTCCTGAATGCAATGCTTAGGGGGACAAAAAGTTCTGCAATTAAGAACAGGTTCTGATAACATCTCACAAGATCACCTTTCCTTAATACATTTCAATGTCTATAATAAATACAGCAAAAACGATTTATTATGATGATGATTTAACTGTTTTGGTATCCATTTCTGTAAATAATTTCTGCTAATAACAGAGCTGTCAGATATAATCTCGAAGTTCTGCACTGTCACCACTCTTAACTGTTCATTAAAAACATTTAAAAAAAATTAATTTTAAAACTGGGTCAGTTTTAAATCTGTAGGAAGAAGGGGGAAATATAACATGGAGCATATCTACACACTATTATCTGAAATTTCATATGAACTGGACTGGAAAAATCTCAGAATTTCAGCCATACCTCCAATCACATGGAGGTTTTCAGTGACACGTGTGAAAGTGAAGAACTAGTAAAAAAATCACAAAAACAAAATAAATGTAGCAAAATACCTCTCAATTTGCCACTTAATCATGTCGCTTTACATTTGTATCTTTATTTAATTCTGCGTACCTCCTCTTCCATGTGCCATTGATAAGGTCTCACATTCCCATTCATTCCCCTGCTCTTCCTGCCCTCGCCCATTCATCCTGCCAGGGCTTTCTTTGCCTTCACCAACCTTCTCCTACCCATGCATCACAAACTCTGCCCACAGCTCACGTATCACACTGATAATGAAGGTGGTAAGCTCCTCTGAAATGCCGGTCAGTATGGTGCTAAATCCCAGAGGAGAGCCATCTTGATGCTATTCTGCCTATTAGCAGAAGGAACCAACCACATTTGTGGGGTATGACCACAAGTTGAGAAACCCCAGCACAAGTACTAGAATATGGAATTCAGCAACTCACCAGAATGAGAGGATCTGGAAGACTCCTGCAACTTGAAAGTAAAAGGAATGTGAACCTTCATCATCTTCATCTGAGGGATTTGTGGCTGCACAGGATGGACAGCGCCTCCAAACACAAGCTCATCTCCATGCAGACGGAATACCATCATGTTCCTACGTAAAGTTAATATTTTTATTAAACTTGACAACACAGGCTTGTGTTACAAGTTCATAATGAAGAATTATCACTCAATAAATTAACAGATTTTGGTGATACCGAGATTCACACCCCTTCATCGTATCAGAGAATTAATCTGTAGGTGGGAGGATAATAGTAAAATGGATCTCAGAGAAATATAATGGGGTGGTATGTTCTGAATTCATTTGGCTCAGAACAGGGATCAGAGGCAGGCTCTTGTGAACACGGTAATGTACTTTCGGGTTCAAAAAATGTTAGGAATTTCTTGGGTAGCTGAGGGACCGTTGGCTTCTCAGGAAGGACTTAGCTGCATGAAGTATGTAAGTCAACATGCTTTCCTACTTTCACAAACAGCATTGTTTACAATGAGAATAATCATTTTTATCATACTTGTATCTTTCACCTTCAAAGGCTGAAAAATTAATCAATGAATAACTAATTTTTGCATTAAGTGAACAATTTCAGAACATATTTCTATTCATCGTACCTGAGGAAAATTCCGGTAAACGATCACCAAACCTCGACTACAGCAACAATACTGGTTTGTTAATTTAAAAATCATGGTTGGACCCATAGTTGATTATTTCGTAGAAGGCCGGTAATCACACAGCCACTTATCTAATTTATCAGCAGCTACGGCAATTCAAGGAATAAACTATTTCGACTACTCTCATTATCATTTATAAATCAATATTAGCAAAACTAAACACACACGAGTATTTACTTATTGCCAGCGTGAGTAAATTTATATGACTATTTGCTTACCGCATTATGAATAACACCATTGCGCAGAAACATATCACAACCGCTAACACAGAAAATATGTTTGACAGTTCTGCAACAGACACGAGCATAGCTGTCATTGCAACCATCATTGTGTTCAAGTTGACATGTGACAGCACGGTCCGACACAGGATGACTGAAACAGATTGCCACTAGAAACACACGCAACACCACCAAGCGCGTAATGTACCAGCCATGTCGGTAACGACTGACAAATGTGAAAGTGCTGCCGACATAAAAATACAAGCTCTATTCCACCACTCCACTCACTACCCACTGTCCTACATCTTCCGACGTTCGATATAATGCAATACGATACTGAATGTCATGGATTATAAGCAAGTCCTACCTATACCTTCACATGTACGACCTCTCGTGACAAATGTAGGAACTTCTTCCAATATAAATGTGGTGATCTGGGATTTGATGTAAAAATTATTTTCAATTACAGCCTAAGCAAGTGAATGACTGTTTTTGTACTGTACGTAATTTCTTCCAATAACAATGAGTCATTTTCCATCAAGATTCATATTCTTGGTATTTCCTTCCTTGTTCGCTTCTTTGTGACATCTAGTGGAAGTTTCGGCACCAAATGTGATTCATAATATTTATGTGCGTTGTATTTTGTTGTATGATATATATTGTGGTCAATTTGCTTAGACGGTCTGTTTAACCAGTCATGTTTTCAGAAAATAAATTGATATCTGTAGACTTCGAAGTTTTTGGAATTGTACAAGGTTTGTTCTGGAAATAGCAGTCCGAGTTGTAGAATGAGAATTAGAATGTATTGTACATTCCATAGTCCCTTTTAATAAAAGCCAAAGATGTGGAACATGTCACAGTATGTATATAAACACTTCGTACAATAAAATACCAAAACAAAATTGCAACTGCATCGTTATTACATCTATTTATATAAATATTTACAGTATTCAATAATTTTCAATTTAAGTTAATTCTTCTAGAGTATGAGTGAGATAAAAGAATATCTTTTAGTGCTGGCTTAAATAATATTTATATCGTGATTTTAAACTTTTAATGCCATCTAGAAGAGTACAGAATATTTTCATCACTGCAGAGGAAGCACCTTTCTGATAGGTGGTGAGGTTAGATCTCAGATGATGGTGATCATGCTTATGACGTGCATGTATGCAATGTGTTTGAAGTGCTCCATGTAGTCAGCAATGGAAGGCAGTAATGAGAGTAGGAATTAATTTGCAAGGAGTATATTAAATTTCTTAAATTGTTCTCTGCAAGATACTATTCTTTTAACACCTGCTATTATTCTAATGAGTTTCGTTTGAATGATATATAGTCTTTTGCTGTCTGCTAAACTTCTCCAGATGATAATTCCACATGGGTTGATAGAATAGAAATAATCAAAGTAAAGCATTAAGTTTCAATAGTGGTGTGATTGTTCTCATGGAAAAACATTTAATTGGTAAAATATAAGATTTGAGGTTCTGACAGCAGTGGTCTATGTTGGTGCCATGGATTGTAGCACTGTGTGGACTTGTAGGTTTTGGAGCTTCATCTTAAGCCCAGTATGTTCTGCCAAAATGTTAGTATCTAACTACAAGTCACAGCCCAGAAGAACATCATCAGTAGAGTATGATGTCATGAGAAGTTAAGGATAAGAAAGTTATAAATACAAATCATATAGCATGAGTGCAGTCATAATGGAATAGAGGAGCTGTGGATTACAAGAACTAGGTGTTAAGGAGGCAAGAACACATTATTATTGTTGTTATCATCATATTTGTTGATGGTTGCAGTCAAATACAGTTTGACTAATACACAATATCACCATGACTGTACAGACGCCCATGCAGGTCACATCATATTACAACCTGCACACACCAGTCCGTCAGTTATTTTTCAACAGTTGAAGTGCAAGGATGTCTTTTTCACAAGTGCAAAAGATTTCATTGTCAATCACTACCTTGCATCTCATTCTTACTTAACTTGCCAAAATTCATTTTATCTCCCATGGGTACAAGCTGGTGCACTCAGTTTATAAACTTTGATTGGCACTTCTGCTGTTGCCCAGAGATAGGGACTATCTATGTCATCTGGGCCCAATGGAGTAGGTTCTTTACCAGAGGATGGAGACAGATTCCAGTCTCTGAAATGTTATGTTTTGTGCAATTTTGCATGAAGTGCATAGTGAGAATGCATTATGGGCTGGTCATGTCTGTCCATTCAATTCAACTCCAGAAACAACGGATGGACAACTTCAAGATCATACTCTTAAATATCCCATGAGCAGTGATAACAAAATGGCAGATTTAGAATGTTGTGAGGTTGACCCTGAGGTGCTGCAGTCTGGTAACCAAAGTGGAACACATAAGGATATTATGTGTATTCTGGTACATAACACACTTTCCAAGTTTCATTAACAAAAAGTCAAGATGATGTATAATGTCCAGAAAGTGTTGTTGTTTTAACAATACACCATCAACACAAACCACCATATTTAATTTGCCAGAATGAGTTTTTGCACACATTTCCAAGTTCTCCAGTGCCAAACAAATCAACAATCTCTTGTCTGATGAACCACTTCCACGACACAGGAACTCTTCAATGTGCTGCATCAGACTTAAGGAAAAGAGTGAATGCGTGCAATGCTTCATACAACATTGTTTTTTGGTTTCTGACTTCAGTGTAATTTATTTTTTGACAAAGAGAACACGTGTCAGGATTGGGTGCATTACTTTTCAATCACCTTGTACAAGTAGGTGATCCATTGTATAAGGTAAAGAAGTGTCTGTAATGGACATCAATATAACTTATAGTTACACAGAGACAAATCCTGCTCAGATTCAGTGACTGATCTATGTTTTGTACCTTTAATTGTATGTCAGTTGCAAAGATTCTGTGTCACTTTGTAGGTGAATTACTATTTCTCAGTTGAAAAATAATTTTGGGGATAGAATAGAATAGAACAATTTACTTACATCCCATAGGTTCTTGAAAGTACAAGCCAAGGATGTGGAACATGACATGATATGAATATGAAACATACTACAGTAAGAGTACCAATATAAGGTCATTTCATGTCACATCAACACACTTAAGGGGCAGCATTTTTATGACCATCTCTGATTTAATACAATTTTTCTAGCATTTTGGCTCTCCTTAATAAGTAACATGTATGAAATTCCACCTTCCTTTGTCAATTAATTGCAGAAATATAGGATTCTGAAATTGAAAGTTTTACTTAAATTTTACCTCATTCTGATTCATTAAAATGTTTGTAATTCTGATCCTAATTAAGGCAAAACTCAATGTACCAAATTAAATCTCTTTAAGTGGGGATTTCATTTGGTATGCCACCCATAATATTTTAGGGCATGTTAACCTTTCTATCTTGACCCATGACCTAGAATTTATGAAAAAGCATATTGCCAGGTTTATGCAAGTATTTTCCCCACATTTCAATACATTATGGAATGTTGGGTTTTCAGAACATGCCCATCGTCTGATGTTATAAAAAACAGTTTTGAGAACTGGATCTGTCCTCGTCTTCAGGCCTCCTGAAGGGAGCACCTACTCTGTGGGGTCCATTGGAATGAGCTGTATACTTTTAGCATTGGACAATGGACAAGGTCCAAAAACCCAACACTCCAGATTATATTACACCATTGTCAGAACCCTCCAAAATCTATTTAAATAAATCTCTGTAAAGTAACATGAAAGTGATGATGAGATACAATTCTTTTCCTGTTAGTGGTCTGATGCTACAGTGAATAGTTAGGTGTGGTGAGTCATGTTGTGATCTGTACAGTCATGTTACAGGGCATCATTACTCATCCAGCCTTTCAGTTCACATCTGATTCCAATAGAGTCAAGTTGCATTTCCTTATCTTCCAAGTTCTATAGTGGTTTTGTCAAGTGCAAATTATTTCTTTCTTTCTTTCACTTTTGGTATCGATTTACTTTAAGGTCTCCAATATTGGTCATTTTTATTGGAGGCTTTATATTATGTTTGTGGTATGTCCTGAGATACCCAAGTCTAATTGCCTGTCACTGTTTACTCTTGAAGGTGTTCTTCCAGCAACCTAACTGAAATGTCCGACCAACTCACTTCCTCCTGTAACCCTTTGACAAACACTGTACCAGTAGTAAACTTTCTGCAATCACAAAGCAATTTCTGTTTCATTGTTGCCAACTGCTACACAAAAGCATCAGGTGTATTTCCTTTTACAGACTTTTTATACCAATCAGTAAACTATTTCAGAAATTGGTATGTACTAATTTTGAACTTTGTTTTGTGGTTTCTTTTGGGGTGTGCATTTTCAAACAAGTGAAATAATACTGACAGAAATAGACACTGAAATCTTGAGTGTGACCATCTACTGTTGCCATACTTCTGACCTTGGGCCTCTGTTTCAGAATTATATATTTCAGTGTTATAACTTATTCCTATTAGAATTAACAGTCAGTATTAATTTTTTCAAAGAAATTACAGCAATAAAGGATGTCATGGGAATACATTCTAATCTTCATTTATTTTCTTTCAGGTGTCTCCTTCAGAAAGGTTTGTTTTATATTTCTTTATCCAACTTTCTGTTGTTAACAGTTTTTTAATTAATGCTTGTCCTCATCACTGCCTGCAAAATTCAGTGTCATAGCACATAATCTTATTGTCCAAAGATCTTAAGAATCTTGTCCTGCAGTATGGAAGATCTTACCATTTGATCTGATATTAGGGCGGTTTAATCCACATGAGATTTCAAGTTTTCATGGAAGTGACGATGATGATCTTTTGGGTTCTAGCACCATGTGCACTGGTTTGTAGATGCCAACATTTCAGAGAAGCATACTGTCTCCATCTAAAGGTCTCAAGTGACAGTGCTGAGAGTCAGAGCCCAGAAGAACATCATCATCACAGTTTAATCCGGTTTACAGTCCCACATTTATTTCCTTGAGATAATTTTAACAGCTCAAGAAACATAAGTTGCTGCTATTCTCTTAGAACCACAAAATAATTAGTAGAAAACTTCTGAATTCCGACATGATAAATCAAAGTAATTTTGCTGTCATCTTTTTACAGTATACAGTTAAAAAAGGGAAGGAGCTCGAATTAAAAGGATGGTGTATGAACACTGATCGAGGCACTGTACTGGGGCAGTTAGAAGGAGAACCAATGAAGGTGGAGCAAATGTGAGTAGCATATAACGTAGTCTAGTGAAATCAACACTTAAGTTGTTTGTCACTTATGTGAATTCTTATTTCATTCCTGTGGTGTGAAGATAATTTGGTTTCATTGTAAAAAACATTACACAAAGTGCCGACATGAAGAAGGTGTATTTATTCTCTGTATTAAAGACCCAGAGTTTTGCATTGTTATGTACAGTGACCCTTGGGTGACAGAGGCAAAATTCTTTTGCAGAGATTACAGGAACTATGAATGTTTCATACATGAAGATTACATAGCAGAAGTAGGGAGCTTTTTGACATACTTCTTCATATTCTAGAATTGCTTACAAATATGTAGAAATTATTGGCTTATGCTTTCAAGAAAATTACAAGCCCAGAATTCAGTCAAAGCCATTCATTCTGAGTGTTCTTGATAATAAGTCACTGCTGGATTGATATGAATTGTTCTTTGCTCTGCATGAAGAATATCTAAAAGTGCACAATGTGTGGCACATTTTAGTTTTATGGACATTTAATACATAAAGTAGACACTTTCACAATGTCTTTGAGGCACTAATATTTGAAACAGAATCAGTCATGTGTCTTCTCTTAATCTGCGTACCTGTCTGTGAATGTGTTGATTGGTAGATTGTAGTCTTCTCTGGACTGTGATGCATGTAGTCTTGTAGGTATTTACAACATTTTGGAGGTCTGTATCATTTTTGTCCTCGTGTTTACTCCTGAATATGGAGGTGATACATAGCTCTGAAATGTGAGCCGGCATAGCTCAGTCGGTATAGTGACTGGCTATGGACTAGGCAACCGGGGTTCGATCCCCGACGGGGGCAGAGGATTTTTCCTCTAGTCTCTGCGTCCAGACCGGCTCTAGGGCCCACCCAGCCTCCTTCCTATCCAATGGGTACCAGGGTCCTTTCCCGGGGGTAAAGTACGGCCGGGGCATGATGCTGATCACTTATCCCCAGCTAGTGCCGAGGTCAAGAATGAGTAGGAGCTATACCTCCGCTCCCCCCAAGCGCCTACATGGCATATAGTGGGACAGCTTTACTTTTTTACATAGCTCTGAAATGCTGGTAATCAGTTACAAGACTACACAGTGTCATAACCAATAAAATTGACATCTTCACAGTCAAGAAATCCTTGTATCTTGTACCTATTCAATAACAGCATATGGACACTGGGTACTGAATCAATATTAGGGTCATGTTTGTTCATGTGAAATTGGCCCAGCACATCAGTGACTAACCTACCACCTTTTTTGCTTGCACTACTTGCTCACTGAGACATGTTTGGTAGTTGATAAATCGTATTGTAGCGTATGTCAGTGACTTCATAGTGGGTTCTTCAGAATACAAGACGGACTTACTGCACACAATATTTCAACTAATTACTTCTTCGCTTAATGTTCTGTCAAATCATGGTCTTCATCATAGACAGTCAAAATGTCTTCACACTGGTTATATCAGTTGATTTTTACTCCAAAATACATGTGTGAAAAATTCTGCTGCTACGCTTGTTCACTGTTTGCTCACTACTGTACATCTACTTGAAACAGCCACAACTGACCTTCATGTAAGCATGCAGACCAGTGCATTCCCTTATAATAAATATGTGAATATACAGCACCTGAGAAATCTCATTTTTTACGCTCCAAGTCTTTTTATATGTTTTCTCTCCCAAGTCCATTTTTCTGCACCAAATTTCAGTAACTTTCTTAAGATTTAATTAGGCACTTCCCATCATTTATGTAATTAAAAATAATAATGTTTTTTACATTCTATGTCAAAATAAATCCGAATTATTGATTTCTTCCCTAATCAGGTGCTCCCTTCCTTTCCTTCAGTAATCAGTTTGAATCTTGGCCACGTTATTGGCTGTCCTTATCTTTCCTGTCCTGTCCTAAGTCAAATAAACAACCCATGAATACAATGTTTTCTGTATATGAATTTAATTTTTTGCATTCTGCTGTAAAACTGTTAGTTATGAACTGTGATGCTGTTACAGGAAACTCTGGTTGAAATGTACTGGGACCCCAAAGTCCAGGATTGATAAAGCTGAATTTAGAAATGAACGAAGTATAGACAGCTTTTCTCTAAATGAATTTAAAGTTCGACGCTAACTTATTATGTTTTCTTCTCCCCATTCAAAACTCCGATTTCACTTTGTTTGAATCTTGTATCTTAGTGTTTAAGATGTAATTTCACTGTTAACACCATGTGAGGTATTTATACACGTGTTAAATTGTCTATAATGAAGGTTCTTTAGACATTATTGGCACTTGTTAGGCCTCTTCCTTTGAGAATGCTACCAGTATTACACACGTTTCTAATTTTTGAAGCCTCATTCAATTATTACGTTAAAGAACTCAAGATGGTTTGTATTCATTTCATGCTCATGTTTCATTAACCTGACACATAATCCAGCATTTCTATCGTAGTCACAGTCATACATGTATGTTTGAATATTGGCCAATAAAATGCTCATTTATGGTTATTTTTTTATTATTATTGGATTCTGGTTACATATATAACATTTCCTTTGTTTGGACTGAAAGGTGTTGCATTATGAGTTAATTACTTTATTTGTCTGTTATATCTCCTTACCAGAGATTCTTCAAATCTAATGAACTAATTAACTTGTATTATGAAACCTAAAAATCCATTATCAGAGTCACTAAAGACTGTCATAAGAGCTTTCCTGAGCCAGTGAACTCTAATGTTGCAACAGCTGATCCACAAGGAATGCGGGTATGGTACGAGTCATGATTGCTTCCCCAACATCTGTCCTGATTCATCAGTCAAGCCACTGACATGTCCACTAGGATGGGCTGTCTTATGACAGTTCTTTTCTGTTCTGTATCCTCCCATAAGCACTTGTATCAATATCCACTTTTTCCATGCTCCCTTTTGTATACCATGTCTCCATTGGTTCACTGCCTTGTATGCACTTGCTCCACCCACATCGACTATGGTGACGGTGTTAGGTGATGTGACCAAGAAGTGTGACCATTGCAAGAGAGTGTAACCAGACCATTCACTATATCCACCCACTTTCTTTCACCCCTAACATGCACTAATCATATAATTTTATCATCTGTCCATCACTGCTCACACATGACCCAATTGACCATGCCTCGCATTAGCATGCCACGAAATTGCTAACTGCAAAGTTAGTAGTCCCATAGTACAAGTGTTTAAATCTTCTGTTACTCTACGATAAAGATTAAGTAGCATTAAGCAGGCAAAATATTTTTCTTGAGTTTGTGGTCATGTAGTCTTGCGAGTGATTACCAGTGCTCTGGAGGAACATAGTTCAGCATCTTCAGGATGGATGTAGTGTGTTCCTTCAAAACCCTGGAAACCAGCTACAGCAATATCCAGGATTATAAACCAGAGGTTACAGTCTGAACTCTTCGTGCTCTTAAGAACTCAGATCTCAAAAAGGCTTTGTGTCTGTAGTGCTACTGAACTGTAACAAAGTCTTTGTTAATAGACGCTGGGGATTCAACGTTGCAAATAACAAGTCCCACATTCAGACATGGTGGCTATGACCTTGTCTTTTCTGTTAATATCGAATAAAGACAAAATTGTGTATTACTAGGGACCGTGCCCCGGCTTAATTCGGCAACAAAATCAGGGGGCTTCCACCCATCACTTCCTTTCCTCTATTGCAACCAGTCCAATAATTTGTGTTCACATGAAGATTTTAGCCAGTGACACGAAGTGTCGAGCTCAGCTGAAAGGAAGAGCAAGAGGAAATTATAATAAGTAGCAGCTACACTTGCTGCCAAAACATTATGTTACTGTGACTGAAGTTCCTGTACTTGTATAACCTAATGCAGAATTAAATGAGCATCCCTGAAACACCAGTATGTGTCATCTGCTTCTCAACAAAAAATGGACAAATGACAGTCATTGCTGGAATTGGTGACAGAAACTTTCCTGTCAATCTTGAATAAAATTTCTTCTGTTTCTTCCTCGAAAAGATTATTACTTGCCCATTAAACAGCTTCTTGTGTTCACATATGACTACACTTTTCAAGATGTTTATTTTTGATAGTATTCAACATTCTTCTAAAAAAAATTAATTAATTTTTTTAAGAGTGATAATATATTTTCAAAGTTGGAATCTCTTTCCTCACAGCACAGACTGAAATAGTGACGTTCCATTCTTATAGAGTTGGTCTTATCCACGTTAGGTCGCGGATGGAGGAGAAGGCCTCCAAATATGGAGGGTAGCTGCGAATATGCTGAGTAAGCAGTCACCGACAACCGACAAGGGTTGATCCTCCAACTTGGGGGTTGGGCATGGGGCTAACAACTGCTCACTGTATAAACTTTATTTTGTAATGAAATCCCTCAAAGCGCCTCTGACCTGGACTTATTCTTTGGCTCGACTGAAGAAGTGTAAAAAGGGCATGAGATTTGGCGCGTTGAATGTTAGAGATGTCTCTACAGGGTAGGTTCAACCAAGTCAGTAGCAGGGAAATTAGAGAAATACAAGCTAGATTTAGTGGGGGTACAAGAGGTTGGGTGGGAAGGGGAGGGGTATCAAACAGCAGAAGATGATACATTTTTCTATGTAAAAGGTAACATTAATCACCGCTTTGGGACAGGATTTTTCATACATAAGAGGATTGTTTCAGCAGTTAAAAGAACAGAGTTTGTTAGTGACAGGATGTCGTATGCATTTCTGAATTGTCGCTGGTGTGATATTGTACTGCATGCCCATTCCCCAACTGAGGATAAAGATGAAGACACAAAGGACAACTTTTACGAAGAGCGAGAACAGGTATTTGACCAGTTCCCTGGGTACCACGTGAAAATTTTGCTAGGAGATTTCAGTGCAAAGGTAGGGATGGAGGACATTTTTAAACTGATTATTGGTAAGGAAAGTCTGCATGAAGCTAGTAATGATAATGGGGTCAGAAGAGTAAATTTATATGTTTATAACTGAGTAGAGAAGTATTTCGGAATATTATTCTACTAGCAGCTACTAGGGTCGAATGAATAAGGCTGCGATAACGCAAGAGTCTTTGTGATGCCAGCAGTCTGTTCCGTGCCGAGGTTCCAAACAGCCACCGAACAAGAACACAAGAATCAGTTTCCTGAGTTTTCTTCGTCCCGAAAAGATCCGAAATGGCCGCCGCTCAATGCCATCCACACTTTCCACTGACGGACGAGAAGAAACAAGCCATTCCTGATAGCTCGTAAACAAGAAACGGTTTACAATTGAGCACGAAGCGACGTGCTCGAAGTTAGGTTACGTTCGCGTTGCTACCGGAGACATCACGCGCTCCTAGCAAACAGGCAGCGTGCAGCGCAGGCATAAGTCGGCCGACATAGAACAGAAATGTTGTCAGTACAGTGCCCGTCTGCCATCGGTGTGGGCTGTATCGTTGCATAGAGCAGAGGAATGTGACACAGCGCTTCCTGTTATTACAACGGCCTTGCCCAACCTACCACAGCTGACTGGTAAGGACACTCTTGTAACGCACTACCGTCTTTAAATTGACAGGAGGAATCACGCGATTGGTCAGAAAGGTTGACCCTACACTTCCATTGTAGAAGGGCTGTTTGTAATCGGTCTCCGCACTTATTGTTACAAATTCTTTTACGTAGACACTAAATTACTTTGTCTCATAACAAATATAACTGCAAATCTAAAATGGATGCTAATAAAGTAATGAATATTTATCGAGATCGTCACTTTTAGCAGTCTCGATTATTTGTGCTTAATTTCCACTGTGGCAGTCGTCACTAAACATCAGTACCTTCAATTTGCCCGAGTTACGCCTAACCACAGTTTTTCAGCGACTGTGCGTCTGTTAACTGGCGACCTTTAGAAATATTTCACACATGAGGAAGTATGTTCTTCCGAACGTTGCTACCTACGTAGAGGTCCACACAGCGTTACGACACAAAGACCAACATCGTCAAAGGTAAATAAAGATGAAATGCTGTCGCCATGTTATTCCGTTATATTGACAATAACACATAAAATAATATTAGTAGTTTCGAAGTTCTATTGTCTTATGTAATTTCAGGGCTGTACATTCGATGGTGACGTCACGTTGAATTTTTGCACTGTTTAAAAAGCACCGACCCGTCTGTACTGTGGACTCAAATGTTCACAGGAGTTTCGCCTGAATTTCATAATTAAATAATCCAAATGATTTTCATAATTGAATCAGGGGACGGACGTGTAGACCTGCAGTGGAATTCCGAATAAAGGATATAATTCATTCAGAATCCTAAGATTCGTCCAACCCATCTTACACGGCGAGGAAATGTCCTGACTACAGATGAGGCGACCAGTCAGAACCGAATGCAGAGCCGATTTACAGCTGTCAATGAAACTGCATTGAATCGCATTAGTTGCACTAGGTTAGTAAACGCAGGGATGCATTCTCGTCGCCCGGCTAAGTGTACAGATAACTGCAACACGATAGACAGGCTACAGACGCTTGAAGAGATAACAGCGCGCTGTCCGTATCGCAGGGCGCAATCTCCACGTGCCTCAACTCTCTGGACTCTTCTCATGAAGACGTCAACACCTTGTAAAAAATGGAATTCAATTTACAGACTTTCCACTATTACAACCATAAAGAACATATGACAGTAATAATTATGGTCTTTCTTTTCGTTATAAGAAGCGGACTGTCAATACTCGAAACAAACAAAAAAATGTTGATTAACTTATCTTCATTACACAAAGGACTTTTTAATCGAAACTCAACAAATATTGTGTCGTGATACAAATGGAAGGCCAGTTGAAGAAGTGTAAAAAGGGCATGAGATTTGGCGCGTTGAATGTTAGAGATGTCTCTACAGGGTAGGTTCAACCAAGTCAGTAGCAGGGAAATTAGAGAAATACAAGCTAGATTTAGTGGGGGTACAAGAGGTTGGGTGGGAAGGGGAGGGGTATCAAACAGCAGAAGATGATACATTTTTCTATGTAAAAGGTAACATTAATCACCGCTTTGGGACAGGATTTTTCATACATAAGAGGATTGTTTCAGCAGTTAAAAGAACAGAGTTTGTTAGTGACAGGATGTCGTATGCATTTCTGAATTGTCGCTGGTGTGATATTGTACTGCATGCCCATTCCCCAACTGAGGATAAAGATGAAGACACAAAGGACAACTTTTACGAAGAGCGAGAACAGGTATTTGACCAGTTCCCTGGGTACCACGTGAAAATTTTGCTAGGAGATTTCAGTGCAAAGGTAGGGATGGAGGACATTTTTAAACTGATTATTGGTAAGGAAAGTCTGCATGAAGCTAGTAATGATAATGGGGTCAGAAGAGTAAATTTATATGTTTATAACTGAGTAGAGAAGTATTTCGGAATATTATTCTACTAGCAGCTACTAGGGTCGAATGAATAAGGCTGCGATAACGCAAGAGTCTTTGTGATGCCAGCAGTCTGTTCCGTGCCGAGGTTCCAAACAGCCACCGAACAAGAACACAAGAATCAGTTTCCTGAGTTTTC